TATATATTTATCAGCTCTTTAAATTACGATTTATGACAAAATAACTTATTTTGAAACTATCGCATTACAATTATGATCCATTAATGAAAAGTAAAACTTTTGCAAATGATGAAATATAACTAACATCTGTAATGTTTTTAGCCACTGACTTACTGCCTTGTATATTTTTATTTAATTTTTTACAACAACATATAGCATAATAATCTTTTTTGAAAATTTTTCTTAAAGATAATTTAAAAATTATCTTTCAGCTAGTTAACTTGTCAATTAATCTATACAACAATTATCTTTCATATCACTAATGAGAATCAACAGAGAGATTAGTTGGGTGATTGCAATATCTGAAACAAATTTTAAAAAAAGTATGAGATACTATGAAATGTTCTTCCACTATGATAAGATTTTGCAGGAGAACGTGGGAGAGAGGAATATTCAGGTCGGGCGGTTAAACAAATTGCAAAAGAGTTGCTAACCAACCATAAAGATGCTACATAAGCAGCTCATTTCAGTGCATGATGCATTACTTGCGATAGCTTCCTTCTATGGGTGTTTTTTTTTCCTTAGCTGCTAAATCTGATAAAATATGCTATAAATGTAGGAAAGTAGGCTTTCTATGCTTCTATCCTTCCTTTTTTTTCGTTACCGTCAAATGATACGATCATTTTAAACTTTAAACTTTTCAAGTTTTACATATTTTGACTTTTCATCAATTAACTTCAGTTTTACATATTGTAACTTTTTTAATCGATTGACAAAATAGCAAAATGGAAAGAGAAGGGAACTTGATGTAAAGATACCCGATTTTCACATACCTCAAATTATTACTCAAACAACAAGCAAGAAAATTAAAGCTTATTTGGCGTTACAAAAATGTAAATTAATTTTCGACAATTCTCAGAAGTATTTAAAGTCTCTAATTTCACAATTAGAAATTTTAAATACTTCTAAAGATTGCCTTTTTTAAATAAATAAAACTTGTTAATCCTGAATTGTAAGTTATTTTAAACTAAGCAAAAATCTGAATTGAAAAATGATATAATATAAAAAGATAAGTCTTGAGAGCATTCTAAATGAAAATTTGTAATTGCTGAAAAACTGTAAATGAATGAAATGCTGAATTTTATAGCTTATTTTTTAAATCATTTATAATTCCCTATTATACTATTTGTGATGTCTCCCAATTTGAAGTTTTTGTAATTACTAAATTTTAAATTAATCTATTTTACTTCAAATTTCACTTTTTTCTTGTCTTTCTTTAAAAGCTTTAATTATAAATGAAATGATACGGTGGTATGCTGAAGTTATGAATGCTGAAGCACTTCAAAAAAAATATAATAATGGCATTTCTCTGAAATATTTATTTCAATCCATCAGAAACTATGCAAAGTCCCTCAGTTCATTATCAAAACTGCATTATAACTTTTTCTTAATTAACACTTTTTTAAATTAATATTTTAGAATGTCATATTGGCTCTTAACATCATATTTCATCGCTTTCCTTCTCTGTTCAGAAATAATCAAAAATTAATTTTATCAAATTTTATTCGTCAGATCAATTTAAGTAAAAAAAAAGGAATTTTTTAATTTCTTCTAATAAAAATCGATTTCGTTTTTGAAGATTAAAATACGAGATTACTTGAACATATCTCGAATATTTTATACATTAGTGTGGTTAAATTTATTTTGTTAATTGTTCATTAAAATGAATATGTGTAACGGATGCGAGAAACAAGTTATTGATAAAGAAGAAGTGTGAAAGAAAAGAATTTACGCTATCAATGATGATATCAATAACGGTCGCTATCAAAAAGAAAATAGCGGGACAACAAAAATTATCCTGTTTTCGAAAATTTACCAAAGAGATGGAAGAGGAGGAATCTTAAAATGTGATTGGTTATCAAGAATTTAATTATCTAATTCTTAGATATCTACTGAAGCCTTTTCTCTTATCTCTTTATCATCAAACAATGCATCATTTAATATTTAAAACATTACTATAAATACCGAATCATTCCTTAATTACACTATTTTCCGAAATTCTTAAAATTATCTTTTAAATTCAACAAAATGTTCCTCCGCATAGCTCTTACTATTCCTACATTACTCGCTTTTACCAATGCTTTTCATCGTATGTTTTTCATCTTGTTATTTTTCTATTTTTGCTAACTTTGATAGCAACTGATAAATGTTTGTAATTTTGAAAATATCTAATTTCAAAAAAATATTTGCAGAAGTTTCAAATTTCAATTTTTATAGAGTATCGAAAATTGGATTGCACAGCAATTGATAAAAAAACGGATAGCAGAGCAGGGAAGATTGGCTGCCATTTGGTTTTAAAAAATGAAGAATTTGAAACGGGTAGGAATGCTCCAGAAGGTTCCGGTTGCTATACAGTTAGTATAATTTATTTTCCACAAAAATTAAAATTCATTTACTGCTTTCATAAATAAAAGAAAAAAGCAGGAATTATTAAATTTATTCATTAATTTGTTGAATTGGAATTTTGGAATCATTTTAGTAACGATCTAAAAATGAAACTAATTCTGGGAAAAATTTTTTTTTAATATCCTTTTGTAAATTCAAATAATATTGTTTTCGAATCTTTGCAATTTTTACTAAATTTTATTCAATTTCCCAGCAAAGCTTTTTATTAATTTTTATCAAATTAAGACGTTACACAGCTAATTAAATTATTTAAAACGTTATCATTTTTAATGACAAATAAACAATTTTCATTAAAATTTAAACACGCCATATTACAGTATTAGTTTATAGCTGAATAATTGATGCATTTTTAGCATATGTTTCATAAAGAGATTATCTTATTTGTCATTTTTTTTTTAAATAATGAGGATTTAAAATTACAACAAAACTGTGATGAATTGAATGGAAATATTGTGAATTTAAAGTAAATTGACAATTGTGGTGATTAAGTTAAACTTTGTTGCAATCGTTTTATTTAGTTTTTGTGTAATAGGATAAAATATTTCTGAAAAGGACATTTGTAGAACATTTTTTTTTCTTCTAAATTCAGTTCGATGAGATAAAAAATTGGAAATTGTTGATAAAAAATTAATTCAAAAGAAGGAATTAATAAAATGACTTTCATTGTTCCAAAATAGTTCATCATTTACCTAACGAATTAAACGATTACAAAACTATCCTACCTCACAAATAAAGTTATTAAAGAAAAATGGTTGAAATGGTGGTGAACTATTGAAAAAACTTGGTAACAGAAAGTGTACTGATTTCTCCACTGTCCACCACTTATTCTGAAAGTTTGTCTCTCCAACTTTTAATTTTTTGCATAAAAAGTTTTTTTTTTTTCTCTTTTACAGGATAGTTCAGGTGAAAATGCGAAAGTTTTCTGCGCTATTGTTTGCCCAAACGCCCATTTGGTGTTTCATTCAAAATCGTTGAGTGACAAAAATTGCTTCAAATTCATTTCATATGGGGTAATTTTGTTTATTTCTTTCATGTGATAGGTCAACATTTATTTTCAAGGATGCAAATCTATTCTTTAAAAACTAAAAAATTGTTCGCTAAATATTTCTCTCTGATAGATTATCTTTGAACCATGCATTCTCAATATGCGACATTATTCGTGTCTTTTATTCATTAACGTGACATTTTACAATGAGAAAAAAAAAGGTATTTAATTATAGCTGATCGAAAAAGATGGCGATTGGTATTTGTGGCGATCGGGAAAATGCCTTAATAGCGCAAAGGCATTTGAAATTGGATGTAAATTCAATGATCCATTTGAAAATCAATTTCCTGATGACAATGTAATCTTTAAACATTTAGCTGCCAGAGCTCGAGCTTAGTGAATATATTTTATCGTGATTGTATCAAGTTTTTATGCTTTAGATTTGTTCATTAAAATATTGCTAGGTGACAGTAAAATTTGACCTTAAAATTTACGTTTGAGTTTTACAGTGTCTAACAGAAACTTGAAGGTTGTATAGTTATAATGGAATATTTGAGCTTTTAAGAGAAATAAAATGATCATATGAAGAATTTTTATTTCATATATAAAATATATTAAATATTCAAGATATTGTGGAATGTTTTAATAAAATTGATATGAATTAAAATAATGAATTTATGCTTTCTTGCATTCTCACTAATGCCCAACATTCGTTTCTTTACTGTTTGTTATGGTAAAATTTCGAATATTTTTAGCAATTTAAAATTCATCACATACATATCAAGCAAAACTTTTCCTCATTCGACAACAAAAACCTTAGTGACAAATTATTGTGTTAATACAATAGCATCATTTTTGAATAGATGCAATATAACTAAACTTGAGCATATTTCTATTAATTAGAAGGCAGTAATTAGTAAATTTTTGCAAACAAACAAATAAGTATGTGTGATGAAAATATTTTTTACTTATTGCAATTTTTTTTCCTTTTGGAAGTATTTTTGCGAGAAATAGAAAGTTAAAAGAACGGTAATTCATAAAGCAATTTACTGCAAAAGTTTCGGGTCTCGTCACCATCCATCCATCGATTCAAATCAATTGTTCCTCGTTTACTACGTTTTTACGTCACAATCTGTTCGAAAAATAATTTTATGTTGTGTAATATTAGACGAAATGACACTTTCAAAAAACAATTCTTTTTTTAAATCAATCAATTTCTAGGACATTTGTTTATTGGTTATTACACATTCTTAACAGTTTACCGAGCAATTCCTCAAACGATTAGTGTTAACTTTCTATGTGATTATAAAGTGAAAAGCTTTGAAAATTATTTTTAATTGGTCACTATTGGTCTATGGTCATTACGCTTTTTATCTTCAGCTCTCTTTTTCTTTCATTCTTTCTCTCTCTCTCTCCCTCCCTCTCTATTTCTCTTCCATTCTTTCTCTCTCTCTCCCTCCCTCTCTATTTCTCTTCCATTCTTTCTTTCTCTCTCTCCCTCCCTCTCTATTTCTCTTCCATTCTTTCTCTCTCATATCCCTTGCTGACATCATCTTTTTGGCTCAAAATGAGTGTAAAATCAACAGTAAGGATAAATGATTAGGAAAGAAAAAATTTAAAGCAAGAATTGAATATTGAAAATGATATATAATACTACCAAATCTATTCAAGAATGTTTGCTAATATGAAACGGGCAAATTTGAACATTGCGCATTAACCTTTAACCCCTTGATTATAAAACTAGGAGTAAAAAGATTTGACGAGGGAATTCTTCAAAATTTCCTTCTCGCTTTTTTTCATTCAACTGAAATGCAAAAGCAGAAAATCATTTCCTAAGCTATCTTATATGTTCTTTATGAGGCTTGATCTCAATTTATAATCTTATAAAGCTAATGTCAAAATGTAAGCAAAATAAATTCGCTAATACTTTAGAATTACATGAAATATTTTTTATGAAATAATACCCTAATAATTTAAGCTTTACTTCAACTTTTTTTGGAATGCGCATATATTTTACATAATTCAAGTCAGAACTTTTAAATTGATGCAACCAATTTGAATTAACTGTTAAAACCAGCTAGTTGAGTTCATCGATTTGAAAGTTCATTTTTCACTCAGTAAATTCAATCGAACGCTTGAAAAATGATTCTTCTCCATTCACTCATTATTTAAATATTTTATCTTTGAATCACTGATTTATCTTATCTACAAGATTTTAACTTTAGATAAATAATTTGAGGTTTTTTTTTGGAAAAATTCGATTTTTGTTTAAAATTTTTGTTTCACATATATGAATGATTAGATTTTCTATTTCTTAAAATAAAAATTGAATCAGATTAATTTAAAGATTACCAGTAAACAATGTTGATATTGTTAATAAAATATGGAAATTATTCTCATAACGCCCCCAATTATTTTCTGATTTACTTTGAAATAAATTATTTATTTACATTAAACTTTTTTTTCAAAGTTATTATAAAAACTATAAAGTGAAGATTTAAAATATGAGATAAATTAGTGGGTAAATGTTTTCACCAACAATGATAAAAATCAAATCAATGGCAATTTTAAGTTGGAATTAACTTATTCTTTGAAATTGTATCTAAATCATAATAATTTGAGTAAAATGGTTTGATTTGATAAATTTAATACCACCAATATTGAATTTATTTTTTTTATTTTACTTATTGGCAATACATAATTTGTAATTTTCAATTGCACTAAACATAAAATATCAAATATAATTATGTTGTGTTTGACGTAATTCCATATCTAAACGTATGCTAAATATAGCACAGTCAGTTAACATAAAATTATAAGTCAAATGGAATTTTCATAATTCGATGAGTTTTCCTTTTTTTGACTCGTTTAGAGGAAACGAGTCAAAAAAAAGAAAACTCATCGAATTTTAATAAAAATGAAATTTTGTTTTTTTCATTTAATTAAAATATGTTATAATTTTACCGGCTGCCTAGCAGTATTTTTTACACATAAACTAGTTTTTTAAATATTATTTTCAATGAATCGCTATAATTTCATACTTCTATGAGAAAAAATTCTAAGAGTGGTGCTATTTCATGACGTTATTTACCAAAAAATTCTTCCGCTAGTTTTTACCAATACTTTCATGCTCAGAAATTCCCGCCCATCAGGGTAGCACAAAATCATATATAAAATGGCAATTATTGATCGCTACTAAAATTATCGCTATATGTTTTGCTTACTCATTTAATAGTCGACTTTAATTCTACAATTCTATGCTTTTTCTTTTGTTTTTCTTTTCTCATTAGGATTTTATCGATATAATTAATCATTTTTTCAGCTTATGATTTTCAATTATTGTATCGGTATTTCTTCCTTGTATTGGTAAAGTGAAAAAAAGTATACCTGTAGTTTCTTTTTTTGAATTTTTAAGTTAACATCAATCAGTATGTGCCAATTAAAATTACATTTTTCGTATCTATTTTATAAGAAAAAAAAAATTGATTGTTAAAATGGTTAACGAAATGTTTTTCAACTTCAAAATAATACAAAACCAGATTTCCTCCTTCTTTTTTCCTTTCTTTTTTTGTTGACAGAAATTAAAATGAATAGGAAAATAAAGGCTCTGTTGACCCAATCGAAGGATAAAAACAGATAATAATCAAGAGAAAATTATATTCTTATAATGATCGATAAACAAAGCAATTGTAGACGAATGAAAGAAGATTTTATCAAAGAAGGAGAAAATGCTATATCATTTCCTGACAAATGTAAAACGTTAACATCTTCACACTTTCTTTTGCATTACTAAATTATTTAATTTTTTAACTGTCAAGCAAATTTTCATATTTGTTCATCCTTCATCAAATGCTTCCTCATCAAACCGTGTCTGTTTCAAATCACTTCCATTGCTTGAGCTCTAATAAATTTTCAAACCAATATTTTATTTCATTTTTTTTTTTTTAAATTTCAGTCCCACCCTTTTGAAACGTCCTCCTTAAAATTTTTGCCAATTCCAAATGAAATTTTTTTATGTGTAATGTTTACAGCAGCAATATATTGGAAAAAATTACCATTATTTGGCGTTCTTTTTATCGCTTGTTATTCACTTTCATATTTCTTTTCTTCTTTGAAAAAGCAAAAACAAAGAAAAAATTCTTAAATTTTATTTTTCCACCCGTTAATAAATCATAAAAATTTTAGCTAATTTATTCGAAATAAATAAACTGATTTCGTTTTAGTGTTTTTGTTTCCTCCTGTTTTTTTTATATATTTGAAATGGATATGTATATCTGTAAAATCGGCTCATATATCCGACAAAGTTTCAGAAGTATTAATATTATATTTATAGATGTTGTTCAGGTTTTTTTTCTTAACCGTTATTATTGCGTTATATTGTCTGATGAATGAAATTTTGGTTTTCGCTGAAGTGTGGCCGGATCCGGTTGATGATGGCCGGGAAAATTATCCGAAACCAACTACATGGTCAAACAAACATTACGGACAATGGTGTCGTAATCGAACTGTAAGCAGGTGATAATTTTCTCTTTTTTTTTTCTTTTTTATTTTGTAAGAAAACACGAAAATGAGATTCAGTGTTTTGATTCAATTTCTTTTTCTTTTTTCTTTGATTTTGATTTTTTTTTCATGGAAAAATATTGTGAAGCAATAATTTTAATTGTTTTTGATGGAAATTTATCTTTTCTTCTTATATCTAAAAAGTGTAAATTTTTTGGAAAATTCAATTTAGTGAATGTAACTTTCAAGTTTAAGTTGAACTTGATATTTGTAAACATTCTTAACAAAGTTTTTAAAATTTTCCTGAAAAATCATGTGAGCATTCTTTTATTATTGTTGCAGTTCGCTAATTTCACGTTGATTTGATTTCAGGTATGTTCAATGTCCGATGGGTTCAGTGCTTCATTGTTATTCTTGCTGCGGTGAGATGGGCACCGAATGTTGCTTCCGATTGCATCCTACCTTTACTGCCTATTTACTTTCCATAGCATTTATTATTGTTGTTTCTCTAATATTTTATCTTTTACTAAAATTTAATTTAATTTGTCCAACAGAAACTGTTATAGATAATAGTGAGGGTGAAGAATAAGATAATGTCTTTGCCTTGAAGTTTCAAATTATAAAATCGTTAAATTCCTGCAGTTTGATTTAGTAATTGATTTTATTGAGGTTTAAACTATGATTTATTCTTTTGTTGACGTTGAAATGATTCGGATTAAAAAATTATTGCTCAAAGTATAGTGCTCTATTAGTATAATTTAAGCATAAAATACATGGAACTTTCGAATCTATTCAAAAATTCCAATTTTATTTTTTTTATTAATTAATTAATGGAATAGATAGTTTTGATTAATTAATTAATGGAATAGATATTCCCACAAGATGAGTCACTTCATCTCTTTTCATAAAATTACTCCAGAAATGGTTGAAATTACCAACCCTTTGTGCTCGGCCTTCGGCATTAACATATGTGGCATCCTTTTCCGTGTAAGCAGCACCTGGCAAGATCAAATTTGCCAACTCAACTCCTATATCACCATGGTGACCTTAAAACTCAATTCAACTATTTCTTATAAACTTGATCATTTCAAAATGCTTTTGTGCGAGAAAAACACATTGTATCAACATAACATTCACCAACCTTGGTAAACAACAAAAGCATCAGAAACCAAGTCATTCTTTTTGATACGGCCACCATCAGCGCCAAGCATATACAAAAATTTAATATCTTTAGCCGAATTCAAAATCCACTCGGCTCCAGCCTAAATAGTTACCAGCTCTTCAATTCAGGAGAGTATAAAACATAAATTTCTCTCGATCACTGTTAGTGCAAATATACAAAGTATAAATATCATATGATTAAAGTATTCAAAACAGAACTCATATCTGCATTCAGCTTACAATAATACTCAGCAACGTGGTGAAGTCTGTGGTAAAGAATATGGTGCAGCCTATGGAACCCCGGTGGTCCTGAGATTACTACAAATTACAGCCTATCTTACGTTTATTTTTATTTATACTACTAATATATATTGCAGAAATTCGAGAAAACTCACTTTATAACCAACATCTAAAGCGCCAACTTGTGATGCATGTCGTTGCAAAATATTCACTATTTTAACAGCTAAAATTGAAAAAAAAACAGTAAAATATTTAGTTTTTGACCTAATGAATCATATCGTTTTAACGATTTATCGAGTTTGCAATCTTAATCGGCGTTCGAAGTATCGTGAGGCAAAAAATTCTTTCTTTCCTCGGAACAGAGAAAATACGAAATTAAGCATTATGGTTTAGTTATAGGTAAAGTTGTTTGAGATATTTTTGAGATATATACTACTCCATCCATTACTACAAGTTATATCACTATAAAAATATATCTAAAGCTCGAGATAAGAAGAGACTTAATAACAGTTAAGCTGATTCATATTCATACTTTTTCCAGTTTTAGATCGCAATTTCTCAGCGAATAATTGAATTTTTCCAAGTAGTGCAGCACCATGTTTTCCTTGTAAAGCGCCTGAACCAATAACAATCATTGGCCGTTTAGCTTTTTGCAAACGCTTAAATAAACACATTTTGAAGTGAATTTGAAATCATAATTGATAAATGCACCAAAATGTCTCCAACATAGCTCTGGTTAATTTTTGAATTAAGAAGAATAGCCAAAACTCACCTTAGCAAATTCGGTTTTACCGTTGATTATATCATCCAAAATTTTTCCATTATTACCCAAGTATTCATAATCATATTTTAAGTCAACTTCCTCGCCAATAACACCAATTTCAATATCGGTGTGTCGAAAACTGAAGGATACTATATTAGCGATTTAGAACAATGCCACTTGCGATATGCAAGATGGTGCAACTTCATGTCAGAAAATTTCATATTTCAGATTCATTCAGACATAACCTACATGAATTGTCAGACACTGATCTGGAAAAAAGCCAGTTTGTCGATAATATGCGGAATACGGAATGACATCGGGAAACAACGAGAAATTATATTTCAAGCATGAAGCTAATCCCGTAATAAAAACACTAAACAAACTACTTCCACAATAAAATTCATACAAGTGTAAAAATCCAATAAGACTGGTAGCAAATTATTTGTCATACCTTTTCCGTATACGAGCATTGAAAATTGCGGCTTCAAAACGTGGGTTTGTACCAACCAACAATAAAACATCTGCTTTTTCTACTCCAATAAATTTATCGTTCATGAGATAATTGCATCTAAAACAATTCGGTTCAAAAAAATTTATCAGTTTCAAATTATTAGACTATTTCATGTAACCCAAATAAAAATATCCCGAAGTGCCGAATCGAGCGAAGAGTTAGCTAGCAAAATCCAAAATCTTAAGTTCCAAACTAACAAAGAATTCAATTAAAGACTGCTTTCTGATTTCTATTTTATCAAACTTCCTACTCTTAATCATACATTCCTAGAAAGCTACCGAAGATCTGTTCCACCACTGCCATCTGGAAATGATTCTTCTGTACAAACCAATTCGCTGTCAAATTTATTCATCAAATCTTTCAAAGCTACCAAAGATTCTGAAATAGTTATTGTGTAAGTCACATAAATATGGCACACAGAAGTATACAAAAGTCAAATAACTATTTGTAAACAGATTTCTCTAATTTTTAAAATCCTTCTACAGTTAAAAAAAAACGAATTATTTTATTATTGAAACAAAGGAGAACCTGTATCACATAAATCTCCTGCTAATGCAGCAATATGATTTGATGAAGTAGTACGCAATTTTGATGCAACAGCAAAGAGTGCTTCCACCCAGCTACATGGCCTGCAAATAAATCGATTTTTGAATGAAGGATTTATCAAGCCAGTCAAGCTAAAAGTTAACAAATTCTTTCTTTTACTGCATTATGATCATCCAATGTCTAAATTATAAAGTAGGTGTTCCTTCCTATGAAGATATCAAACAAATATGGCGATGGATATCGTCAGTTTAATTTCGGGCCTGCGATTGCATGTGTATGAATACTTTTTTGAAGAAATCGAAACTTACTCCAAAGAACCACTTTGAGTTCGCAAAAGTGGTTGTCCAAGTCGTTGTCTTTTTAAACCATCAACGACAAAACGTGTTTTGTCACTTATCCACTCTTCATTAATATCCTGAAAAATAATAAACAAAAAGAAACAATAATGAATTCAAAAGATCAGATGAATAAAGAACACTTTCAAGTTCTGTCAACAAGAAACTATACGTAATTCGTTTTTCTACCTCACATAGTTTTGGAGTAATTCGGAATAATTCTCCAGTTCGATGTGCTATCACGATGTTTGAACCAACGGCATCCATAACGTCAACACTTTCTACTTTACGCAACTCCCATGGTCTCGCTGTAAAGCTGAAATAACTCAATCTTTAATAAGAAAATTAAGAATATGACAAAAACAGATATGGTAGACTTTCTCATGTAATTAACTTCTGCAAATATTGGTAAGATTTTCGGGAAGATAATGCCCAAAGTCGTAAGCAAACTTTATCTAAAAAAATTTAGGCATTAACTGAATCGCAGATAAACAGGCTAAACAGTACATGGTTAAAAAAATATACCTATATGGTTTGTTAAGAAGGGCGCCAACTGGACAAATATCAATAACATTACCCGATAGCTCGGTTGCGAACAACTTCTCAACATATGTTCCAATCTGAAAATGATTAACTCCGATCCAAACATTAAATTTTTTTAATCGATTATATACCGTACAGTACATATTGAAGTTTTTTCTGTTGAAATATATTTGTACTGGCAAAATATCATAGAAAAGTCTGGTACTCACATAGATGGACAGAGCTTTGTGTCAAAAGCAAAATAAAACCAAGAAAGTGAATATGTTTAGTGAGTGTATAGGAAGAAATTAAATGACTAATTTGGATTTATTAATTATAAACAACAAAAAAAAAAAATTCGAACTTCCATATTACTTCCACGTCCAGTAGTACCAAAATCTGCAACACCGGCTATTTCATTAGCAAATCGTACGCATCGCGTACATTGAATGCACCGTGTCATTACTGTTTTTATCAAGGGTCCGATATATTTGTTCTCCACAGCTCTAAAAATTCAACATAAAAATGATTTTGAACAAATAACTGTGTTTGAAATAATTCACTCAAGTCAATCACTAACAGAAATCTCAAAGATGCATAAGCTGAAGTCTCTTTTTTTATAAAACAAATAAAAAAATTTTTCTCTTTAAAAAACTTTTTCACTCTTTAAAGCAAGCAATTTTTTAAAACAAGTAATTTTTTTTTAAACAAGTAAACACTTTTTTTTAATATTTTTATAAAAGTGACTGTCTAAAAAACCTTTTGCCATCATATACAATTTCCAAACGACTTCTGTCTGAGCCAAATCCCATTGATTGATCTTGCAAATCACATTCACCACCCTAATAATATTATAAATTCAGACATGTAATTCAAGCATCACTTTTTATTAATGATATCAGTGGATCCAATTCCACTTCTTTAAAAGTGCAGTCACGGCTAAATATCCCCTTTATTTGTCACAACACATAGAATAGTACTTTTCCAGCAATATGGATTAAATAATGGTATAAGAAAGTTATTCTGAAGGTTAAATTGAGTCCTATGTTTATTTGTTGGTCCATTTAAAACAAATAAAAAATTATTAGACTCCTAATTAATGTACCTGGTCACAAATTGGGCAGTCGAGTGGGTGATTTAAAAGTAGGAATTCCATAACTCCTTCGCGTGCTTTCTTTGCCATTGGTGAATTAGTTTGTACTCTCATGCCATTTGCAACAGGCATAGCACACGATGCTGCTGGCTGTAAATTAATGGCAAAGATGAAATTCAATCAAAATGAAAGAATAAAATAATCACATTTCTCAAAAAGTGGACAGCAATCATATTTCTCAAAATTTGAATGAAAATCAATAGCAAAGATAAATTTGAGATTCAACACTTATAATTTGAATCCTGAAATTCAAAAATCAAAGTTTTACCTTCATCTGTTTTTCCACTTCTACTAGACACATACGGCAGTTGCCAGCTATGGAAAGACGATCGTGATAACAGAAGCGAGGAATATCAATATCAAGCATTGACGCCGCCTGTAATTATATTCTGTAAAGTATGAGTATATATTCATTGGTATTGATTTATATATAATTATCAGTATAATTCCAATACGTAACAGAAAAAAAAGAGCATTGAACGTCAAGTGGGTGTATGATAATAAAATTCATTACATTCTCGAAATGAATAACTTGAAAATTACTCAAACTGATATTTTTTTGAAACTATGAAATCTATTCGGAAATCTGTTTATTTAGAAATAAGCAAATAGAGATATAACGAAAAAGCTGGTATAAAAACAATCGCACAAACTTGTAATATAGTAGTGCCTGGATCAACAAGTATTTTCTTATCATTGATGAATACTTCCAACTTCTTTGATGCTGTTGTTTGTTGCCCACGACAAGGTAGTAAACTAATTAGCCGGAACTTGCCGGCAGTCAATCGGGCCAAGCCTGTGCTCGATGCTATTTGCATCATTTCCTGCTTGAAAAATTTTGAACTTCATTAAATTATTCCTTACTTTCCAGCAGCTACTATAAATTTACAATTTTTACACCGCTTCAATAAAGTTTCCACATCATCATATCGAAAAAAAAATAGATCGCTGATCCTGCTGGAAATATATCTCAGCTTGCGATTTAAAATGAAATAGTGCTAAACATTGAACAATTTTAAAAGTACCAATGAATAGGCTTTATGACCTGGTCCTTCACATACCACACAAAAGTTACCAGTAAATCCAATTTTTTTTTTTTTACTATACAGCCAAAAACAGAAGATGCAATGGGTCGAAATTATTTACCAAAGTAAATTGAGAATATTGTAAATAAAAATCTCCACTGCATATCAGTTTTAATTTACACCCTTAATTACCACAAAATTCCAATACAACCATTATAGTAGATAACTTGCAAAATCTAAATAAATAATAATTACATTAGAGCCAGTTAACTGCTAATAATTAAAATGAAGAAACGAATGTAGAAGTTGATGTATTACATGTTAGAGAAATTGCGTCAAAATTGTTAGCTTCAACCAGAATGGATCACCTTAATTAATCAAAGAGCATAGCTGAAAAAAGATATGCGAGCTGCTTCACCGGAACAGTGAGAAGTGATAAAATAATTGTTGAAATATTAATTCTCATTTAATTTCTAACTTAAATTTATCGACAAGAATTATCCTTTTTCACATTCTTTATGAAAATTTTAAATTAAACAGTTCTTTCATTCATACCACTTTCTTAAGGATAAATAGATAAATCATAAGCAATATACTTTCCAAATTTCCTTCCCTATTTTGCTAACTATTTAGTCACTTAATACTTCTACAAGTAATGGTACATTGAAGGTTAGACATAGCTTTTTACATAAATTTTGCAAAAACGTTCAAGATAAAATTTATCAAATTATTTCACCCCGTACCTCTGATATTTAGCTCTTCGGTGACGTTTGATATTACATAGCAAAGAAAGTATAAACATCTGTAGCTGTAATACTACAAGGCGAGTAGAAAATCGTCAGAAAGACAATGCAAAAAAATTAAAAAATCAAAAAAAAACTGATAAAATTACAACCACGAAACTCTTCTTCTCTCTTCTGAACATTTAATTTGTGTCAATAATCGTTTTCAATAAGATTAGTTTAAACGAAAAAAAAGCAGAGTCGCCAGAAGTAACACTACTGACTATGTTCGGGAAATGCAATACGAATATTTGGATTAGCGAGAGGATTAAACGCTGGATCATCATTTGATTGATTACCCACTAGGCGTGTAAGCACTGTAAATACTGTCATCACTATTATAATGCAAATTATAATATAAAAAATTCCACGCTTCCATTGCACATGAGGATCGAAGACAGGACGCCTTCCGTAACGTGATCTGAAAAAATTTTTTCGATATTCAATTTCCTCGGGCTACTGATTTGAATTTATAAAAGCAATAGAAAACTCTAGAAATAATGGATCGAATTTTTTTCCTAAACTATTCCAGTAGATTAAGCATACACAAACATCACAAAAAATTGAATTAAATTTCGCAAACCTAAACCAGCGGTTTAGCCATTCACTAGCTGATCTTCGTTTATACTTGTTTTCCGGCAAATCTTCATCACGACCTTTTGAAAGTAATAGAGGACTTGTGACCACATAATTGTTTTCATTCAGATTCATAGATTTTCTAGCTGGGAAAAGTAAACAGTAAATGACAAACAATTCTGAACCATGTAGACTTATTAGAGGTATTTTTGAACGATTACAACTGCACATTCTTGAAAAAAGAGTTTAATTCATTTAAAACTGAAAAATTATCTGCAACGATATGAAAATTATAAGAAAAAGAATTTCAAACGCTTCACATTATTCACTGTAATTGAAATTAAAAAACCAACCAGTAAATTGACGTTGTTGGTTGTATTCGTCACCTACATCAACCACAGTAGCTGGTGTATCACTTCGAATATTGCCAACATTGAGGTTTGCTTCATGCAAAGCATCGTGCCCATTAACATAATTCTGTTGTTCATTTGTAGACTGTATTATCATTCCTGATGGAATGAATGACGCTGGCGACTGTAAATTGTCAAGTTCTGGTAACTGAAATGAAATAAGTCAAATAGTGGCAATGGACAGTTTGGTTCTAAAAAATTCCGTACACATATATAGATAATGAGAAAATCCATCAAATAACTAATAAAGATTCAATAACGTGACATTTCATAAAAAAAATGCAATATTTTAAAAATGAGTTAAACGGTTACGAACATAAGATTTTTAGACTGTTCAACTTAATTACATACATAGAGAAAGTGTGTTCTAGAATGTAGTAAAGTAAAATATTACAAAATAAAGTAAGACTAGTCTTACCAAAGATAATCCAAGTCCAGCTCGAGCCCAATTGGCTTGTTGCAACGCGGTTTGTAACCCCTTAATAATTGGTGATGTTTGATTAGGAGCTGGAAATATACTCTCCTGACATTGCTGACATTTATATCCAGCTGGGGCTGTATTTGCCGGTAAACGACGTGCCCATGCATCCAGACATTCCCAATGGAACAAATCTGAAAATGAAAAAATTTTATGATCATAAAAAAACACAAAGACCGATCATTTAATTGCTTCGTGATATTTTGAGATCTCTTCTATTATGGCTTCTGTAAAATTCCTTTGATATCTGTTATATATAACAGATATACAACTGTTATATATAACTTCGTACAAATTCTGTGTTTAAACATCAATAATTAATGGTACGTAAGAATCATGATTTTTATATTGTAATATATCAACGTGATAAATAAAACACACGTAAACATTTCAAGCGAACAGTTTCTTTGGATTCTAATGGCGTGGAACACAGCGTACAGTTCGTGTCGTAATCACTATCCGCCAACCACGACAGATAACTTTGAACAACACACTGCAATTTGATTCCCTTTTTTAATTTTCTCTTGCATTTCTAATTTTAGTATTTTAAGCAGTTAAAAAGATATCACGTTCCTCTATTCATACAAGTTTTAAGGCAAAAAAGAAGCAGTTATGTCGAAACTCTGCAAACTCTATAACATTTTCCAGTCTTATATCATTGATAGTTTAAGATTAGGATCTCAGTTGTTATTTGATAATTTCTAATGTTATAAAAAAGAAATTTAATGTTTTCCCTACTGCACAATTAATTCATAAGAAAATTTCTAATCTCATTTGCACTTTCATCATTCAGCAACATTAACAAACCTATAACATTCATCTAACTCATATGTCAATGTAATTTTTCTAAGCAACAGATAATAATAACAGATTACTTTGCAATGATTTTCCACCAAACAATACTCACAAACGTTGACTCGATGCTCAAAGCAAAATAAATTTGTTACTTTTTTCTTTGCACATTTACAAAGTCCCATTATTCCTGAATACGTATACTCTGAAATAAATGAAAGAAGAAGTATGCAAAATAGCATGCAATAAACATATCGGGTGAGAGATTGAGAAAATCTGCGAAAGAATAACAAGAATGCAAGGTTTTAAAGAGTAAAAGCACAGGAAGATAGTATATCAACTGAGAATAATGTGAACTGAAAAGATATTACAGATCAAATGAAATCGAGAAATGACGTATATTTAATAAAGCAACGTGTATTAACACTTTGACGATGTTTGTGATTGCATGGGATCGGTTTGACACAAAATAATCTCTATAGGCTACGCTGATATATTTGTATGCGTATTTTTTTGTATTTTAATTATTTTGGGTTCTTTTTTGTCGCTTTATGTTTCTTAATTTTTAGTATTCGAATTTGAATTTTCTCTATTTTATAAATTTTAAAATATAATTGTAAGTATTGCTAAGTCTTTTCTTCTTCATCGGTTTGCATGCAATACATGATTTGCAGTATCATACAAAATAAACAAATAAACGTAAGAAGAATAGACAAATAAACTCGTCTAATCTCGATAATGAAAGTTAGCTGCATTACAGTATATTTGATTTTTCATTTTATCTCTTATCTGCTTTATCATTGTGCAAGTTACACGAA